GCGCCCGGCCCATATCCTATTTATTATTACTATTTTTAAGAATAGCTACATTGGGTTCTCCTGTATACCTATAGTAAAGCACACCAATATTATTATCCTTCATTCATATGACCAAATTCACATTCCTCTGCACTCTCTCCTGTTTTTCCACATCATAGGAAAAAACAAAACAAAATGAGAAGTGGTAAATGTATATTTGGCTGGATGAAAGGGAAGGATAGACTTGCCTCAAACATAGGCTCAAGAATTTGGAGCCAGGCTTAACATAACATAACATAAACATGCCATTGGTAATTTCTAGTTATGTGCTTAATTACTTTTAGTAAATTCAATCGCCAATTCATATCATTCTTGTGCATGACTAAGATCTTTCCTGCCATACATAGGTCAACCTCCTCTTTTCTCATCCTATATTGATGTAGTTTAGTACCATATACCTTGCCCTATTAAAAATGTGCAGTTTTAGCTCTAATTTTCTATTTTCTCACTGAAGACTGAGGAAGTCTGGCTTTTGCTGTGATAAGCTTCAGCCTTGCCCTTTTAGATTACTGCTTGTTTTTTTCGTCAGTGGGCCACTGTCCTGACCCTGTGCTGCTAAACGGTGAGTTCAATTCTTCGGGGCCTGTGAGTGTAACTGAGAAAATCGTGTTTAAGTGCAATGGCGACTACATCCTCAAGGGCAGCAATTGGAGCCGGTGTCTAGAGGACCACACCTGGGAACCTCCCTTTCCCATCTGCAAAAGTAGTAAGTACAAGAGAAACAATCACAAACCCCAGGGATACTGAGTAGTAATGTCACCCTAGACATTTGCAACATCCCTGTGGTGTTTTCCTTTTTTTGTTGTTCCTAGGAAGGGCTTAGGTTCTAGCCAACAGCCAAGAAACAAGTAGAGCTCACAGCACCAAACCTTGACTCAAGTGATATATTCCAGTGAAATGAACAGCAATGAAATGAACACCTTCTTCTTTTCTCAAGTAGGAGGGAGGGAGGTGGTTGGTCTCACCTTAAGTGGGGTTAGAAGATCATTTCACTCCAAAGCAGGTGTCTGGGCTGGGTTAATTCCAGCCTGGGTCAAGCAATTGATCACCAGATGTTTTTTCGGTTTGTGTGCTGTCTTGTGGTTGTGAGGCTGATTTCCACTTCAGACGGTACGTATGCTTTCCTTAAACTTGGCTGACAAGGCATTTGATATCTGTTTGCAGAATTCTGTCTAGAGTTTTAATGAAATTTAAATTTGTGATATTTCTTTTATCGAAAAATCTCGAATGACCAATGCTCTGTGCTCAATAGTGTCTTAGTATATATTTAATGATGATCCTGGTCTGGGTGGTTGTGGTTTACCTTCCCTTTCTGTTCTGGGAGCAAAAAAAACACCAATTTCAAAATCCTGAGAGGTCTTACCTGTAATAAACTCCAGGACTGCTATTTGGGAAGGGGATTGTTTGCTTAGGAGTGGACAACTTGTGGCTGAATTTGAGTGAAATCCTGTTATCCTTTTGGAAGTAAAACTTTGGAAATCCTTGGAAAGGGAGGGACATGGATGGACATGGAAGAGGACAGGAGTCAAGAGCAACAACCCAGCGAAAGGACGCTTGGATGGCGGCATCCAAGAAGGGCTTCCTTACAGCACACGCTATGCCAAGTGGATCTGTTTTCTCTTTCCTTCCAGCAGACAGCTGTTCGGAACCTCCCCCAGTGGACAACAGCATATTTGTTGCAAAGGAGGTAGAAGGACAGATCCTGGGGACTTACTTTTGTATTAAGGGCTACCACCTGGTGGGAGAGAAAACCTTTTCTTGCAATGCCTCTAAGGAATGGAATGGCCCCACTGCTAAATGCCGCTGTAAGTTGATCTTTCTGCTTCTTTGCCCAAATTGTCATCCCGTTATATCCTTTCACATACTACTTCCTGTAGGCCATGTTAAAACTTTATAAGAAAAAAACCTTTTTCAATTTCTAAGAGTCCACTTTTAAAGCACTCCAGTGGTGGAACTTCTCTTGGAAGGTACATGATCAGCTCTTGATCAGTATTAATTTAGTTGAATCAATAGAATCAATTATACCTACAAGAAGGAAATAATTTTTTCC